CGACTGACGAGGACCACACAATCCAGAAATACCCTCAGTTCAAAGGAGGAAAACAATGACTATTTCTTTTTTTAAAACAAAAATATAAAACCTCATCATACATTAAAATGTCTTTTAATAAATCTAAGAGATGACATGGACAGCCCCAAGGATTGAGTAATCATGTAAAAAGTGAACAATGGAAGGTGGATGAAAAAATAAAAACACAATCGAACTTCAGCAGGATGTAACAAATATCAAAGACTCCAGGAAGACCATTTGGAAGAATCCTACACAGGAGGCTTGTTTGCACAGAAAACTGACCTGCCAGGTGAGTGAAGGAAGAAAGTATCTAAATAATGATGATAATTATGCTGACAAGAAAGGCCATTCAATGAGTCATCCAATGCTTGGGGTTACACACAGGATCTTCTTTAACCCTGTAACTCCCCTGCAACGTTAGTTTTACCATCCTCATTTAAAAATGAGGAAACTGCCATTCAGAGCGATTGCATGCTTTGCCTAAGGTCTCCCACTTACTAGCCAGCAGGGCTGGATTCTGAACACAAACCTGACTCCAAAGTCTAAGCTTTCCCTGCTTATCCCAACATCTTCCAGTTCAAAGGCAAGCTTCTCCCTGAGCAGATCGTAGTTTGCTTTTTGTGTGAACCCATTTTCTTCCTGAAATAAACTTTCTAAGCACCCATGCTTCCTAATGTATAAAGAGGGAGCCGCCCCACCAATACAGATGGGGTACTCTCTGTAAGAAGATGCTGACAAGCTGATTTTACACCCTTCCCAGGAGAGAACACCCTGAAAGCCGATAGAGTTGGAGAGTTCTGCTGCAGGTCTGGGCTTTCGGGCCAGTTGGATGGGGTGCTGATTACACTCTGTAGGAGTAACCCGACTCTCATCTGAATGGACACCTGTGTGCCATCCCAGCACAAAGGATATGGTGGTGGTGAGGACTGCTGAAATGAAAAGGGTGGTCTTCTTAAATGAGGGGAGGAGCGAGACTGCAGCACTGAGACCTTGGGGACAAGGCTGGTCTGCATGCTGCACCATCTTACAAGGTCAGAAGGACTGTGGCCTGCCAGAGAATGCACATGAAGACACTTCAGGTTTTGCTTCAGGATTTGGGAGTGTTGTTTTCACAGAAGGGGCCAAGATATCAGGTATTTATTTTGCTGTCGGGGCTGTGTTTTTCGAAAGTGCTCTCTAACAAGCTAGGATGTGCCAAATTGCAAAGTCATGACGGTTTAATTGCTTTGGGGAATGGGGGTTCACTTCACATATTAAGGTTGCATTTTGCACGTAAAAATGATTTTATAAATATCAGAGGTTTTTCATGTTTCCTATCTAATTGGGCTCTCCCCATGATCTTGTAATTTGAAGTGGGGCAGAAGTGTTTCACCCCTTTGGCAGATGCAGAAAACTGAGGCACAGAGAGGGCGTGACTTGTCTGAGGTCACACAGTGAATCAGTCATGGAGATGGGACCAGAACCCAGGCTTCCCAGCTCCAAGTCCGGGGCTCTTTCTGCATCTGATGTTTTCAGGGGCAAGACAGGGACCTTCCGGGCATAAAGAGGGGCTCTGGGTGGGCAGGGCAGAGACGAGTGCAGTCCTGTTGAGCAGCAAGAAGTGTGGGCTTAGCTGCTGCAGCCGCGGGTGCAGGTGGTGGTGAGAAGGTTGTTGTTGCACCCATCCTGGAGCTTGCTTTGGGCCTGGCCTCCAGCTCGGCTGTCGGTGTCCAAGAGCTGGCTGCCCTGTCCCTGCTGCCTCCTGAGCCTGCAAACAAGCACAGATCTGAGTTAGTGGTGCGGCACGGGGTTGTGGAGGCACGTCCAGGAGACACACTGGGCAGTCAGTCAGCTCAAACCCGCCCCTGCCTGGAAGGATTGATCATTAAAGGCATCCAGGGTGCTGTGGACTAGAGCCAGATGGGCCTGGGATCAAAGCACAGCTGAGGCGCACTTGGGTGGGTTACTTAATGCATAGACCCTCAGTTTCTCTGTCTACAGAATGGAGATAATAATTCCCATCTTGTGGCTCCTTGTGATGCTTACTTGAGATCATATATTTATATTTTTGTTTACATCATATATTTATATTACCCAGGCTCACAGTCAGTAAAGGTGGTGAGTCCCAGCTGTCATTCATTCAGTATACATGTATTAACTGCCCACTAGTGTACCAGCCACCATGTCTAGGAGCAGGGGATCCTCTGGCAAGCCAAACAGTTATATTCTTTGTCCTCAAGGAGCTCAATGTCGAAAGGGGAGACAGGCACTAATGAAATAATCCCACAAGTAAATATCCAAACAGTTAAACACAGACTTACAAAATATCCTATTACAAACTATGTTGAGGGGGTGTGATTCCGAACACTGCATTTCCTAGCAGTTGGCCACTTGGTCACCTTTCACGTGTTGGAAGATGTCAGTGTCCCTCTGTTTCTGATCTTCAAGTTAAAGTTCAGTCACTATACCACAGCTGTCACTGCCTGTGGATGGCGGCAGCAAGTACGGAATGGAGACATTTAAGGAGGCAGTGAGAATTTTTAGAGCAGGGAAGAACTCAACTCACATCCTGGCTCGCCGCACTTTCTACTTGGGTTATGTTAGTCAAGTTGCTTTATCTTCTTCTTAGCCTCAGCTTTCTTATGTAAAACTAGGAATTATATCGTTCACTTTGCAGGAGGCTGAGGGGATCATAGACAATACATGTAAAATATCTAGTATAGGGCTGGGAATAATAATAATTACTCTTAGTTCTACCTTGTTCTGAAAAAGAGGTTTTAGCCTGAATTTTAAAACTAGTATGTTTCTTTCCAACAGATTGCAGAGCGGGTTGTCAACACCTGTTGTCTTGATTTAAATGAAAGAGCTGTTTCACGCAGCAAGCCTCTGTGTATGCTTGTTATATGCAGGGTCCTCAGGGTTATCCTAAGATGACTACAACAGTCTATGCTCTTAGACAGGTCATGGTTGTGTGTGTGAATGTCAGTGTGTGCACAGTGGGAATGCCTACTGTTTGCAACAATGCTGGTACTTGAATAAGTCCTTCAGATAACACTGAAATACCAGCAGCAACACTGTGTTTCATAAGACAGTGAATTGGTGGTTCCTTCCCCCAATCCTTCATGCAAAGGCCCAGGACCACGGTGGGCAGTTCCTCTGCCACCGTGGCTTGCAGCTCTCCAGATAGGGCAACTGGGAAAGGTGGTCATGGTTAAAATACATCATCCTAGTGAAGTGGGCAGGAGCCAGAGGACAGAGCTGGGAGGCTCCATTCGGGTTGAGGCCTTGGTGATGGGATATTTCCTCTTACCCTCAGTTGAAGAGGTGGCTTATCATCCTTCTTAGTAAAAATATACTTTATTTTCTGTCTGTGTTGGCATTTATTTGGACTTTTTGCCTTCAGCACTTGTGTTTAATTGGCTTTTGTGTATTTGACATTAGACCAGAACATTCACAAAATGGGGCTCTCAAAGTTCAAAGGCAGGCCAACATATTTTCTGGGACTCCAGCTGGTAACATGTTCAAACACTGCAAGGATTATTTAAAGAGTCTGCGTTCTTAAAACTGAATTAAAATACCATGACTATAAAATCATGGATTTCAAATAAGATATGATACCTCATTGATATCTTGAGGCTAAAAAAAAAGAATCGTTCAGTACTCAAAGATTGCCTCACTACAATATACTGTCTTAAAACTAGTTGAAATTCTTTTCTCTCCAGAGCTCTTCCCATCCTTCTCACAATTTCTTTTCTTTATCCTTCTCTAAGCTAAACTCTCTTTGTCCAAAACTCCTTAGCTAGTCTGACATAATATCTATGAAGAACGCTTGCAAACCAGCAGAAATGAAATAAAATCACTTTGATCTTCATGCTGTTTTTTTTTAAAGCAAAGAAAAAATTTCCATGTAAAAGACATTCTCTTCATACTAAAAAGGAACTGCAACATTTTGATCTTCAAGGACAAAGACTTAAGACCAGGAAAATATGATGCAAACTCTGCTATAATAAAATAACTTATCTTTTGGGCCTCCTGACATAATTTAGTCACATTATTCTTTGTCCAATTCAGTATATTGGCAACTTAAACTGCCTTACCCCAAATTTGGTTCACAGCCTTCATAAGACTGTCTAATAGGCCAGATGTGGTGGGTTAAACCTGTAATCCCAGCCCTTTGGGAAGCTGAGGTGGGTGGATCACCTTAGGTCAGGAGTTCAAGGCCAGCCTTGCCAACAAGGTGAAACCCCATCTCTACTAAAAATACAAAAATTAGCTGGGCGTGGTG